TATGGGCGATTCTTTGAACCGCGGGGTTCTTATCAGGCTGGCTGTGGAAACAAGGTGGAACGAAGCCAATATAAGATCGTAGGGGTTTTTTGTCCGTTTGGGTATCCTGTGTCTGTAGATCATAGGCCAGGTGGAGTTTAAACCAGGTAACGCCGAAGTTTAAAGCCCGGGAAGATGAATGGATGGGATGAGATTAGTAAAGCGTGGTGAGTGTGAGGAGACATAAAATGGGATAATGTGCATTAATATACATAAAAGGAATAACTTAACGTCTGCTGTGATTAGGTTGATGACAAGCGATTGTTTGGAATAGGATAGGGATGGATTTGTATTTAGTAGACTAGCGACCGCAGTTGGGTTGGCTAACATACGATATTAAAGTAAAAGGGATCTATTAAAAGCCCACATAACCCCACAGAGTGGTGGTGCGGTTAGGGAAGTCAGATGTATAACGGCTGATGAGAGTGAACTTCCAAGATGATGGGCTGGTTGATCTGATATTTATTACATGAGTTGGGCGGTACCAGGAGAGTAAACAAGTGTAAGCGAATAGGTCACCTGTCCCCAAAGCACTGCTATAAGCTTCAAGTTAACAAGCGGCGCGTGGAGAATGGAACGCCTTTCGGCACCAGTCTTCAATTTTTGTAGCGGAGGATTAGGAACCTCTGTACACATATGTTTATCATTGTGTATGTTCACTCCTGGGAGCAATAGATAGGTGTGCGTGTCTTGCTTGGTTGACTAAGTTTGCTTTAGTGCGGTACAACCACACTAATTACAAGGGCAGCTACAGCCCTTCACACCGATGTAAACCATTGACATCATACAGTCGCCAGGCTATTCCATTTGTTTTTTACGAGTTTCTTTTTTAACCGACGGAAGGCCAGTTTTTTCTTCATTTATTTCAACGTCCGTAACTATAGCTTTGCCAGCTTAATGACACAATCAGAACGAGTTTAGCCCGGCAGCAAATGACAGAAAACAAAAATGCTCTTTTATCGACTTCCTAAATTCAAGGCCTTCCTCAGGACCACCAGCGATGGGTGGAGCACCCGTGCTACTGGAGAGGTGGTGGGTATAAGAGCGCACCATGGTGCGACGTGACTGGGCAAACCTACCTGTTGGACGCACCGACCACCAAACGAGGTCTTCATTCCTCTTGGATGCTATCAGGTCTGCAAAGTGGCACGCCACCAAGCGGTCATAATTGCGCAAAAATAAATGACAAGCTACCAGATATTTTATCCGGTCGGGGGAGGGCTGGGCCAGTAAAACAGCCCAGTCAGTTCGAACAAGCTAACGATAAACGGCTGCTGGAAAAGGCAGGTTGCGGAATCAAGTGAGATGACAGCTACCATTAAGGTAATTAGGACAGAACGGAGACGGCCAGAGCTTATGGATCTTGGCTGAAAGATGATGGAGCGTGAGCTGTCGAGCCGAACAGTGGCATACAGCAGTGTTGTGTGCAAAAATAAATGGCTACCAGATATTTTATCCGGTCGGGGGAGGGCTGGGCCAGTAAAACAGCCCAGTCAGTTCGAACAAGCTAACGATAAACGGCTGCTGGAAAAGGCAGGTTGCGGAATCAAGTGAGATGACAGCTACCATTAAGGTAATTAGGACAGAACGGAGACGGCCAGAGCTTATGGATCTTGGCTGAAAGATGATGGAGCGTGAGCTGTCGAGCCGAACAGTGGCATACAGCAGTGTTGTTTGCATGTGCTGAATGGTTTGTGAGGCGTATAATCCATTCTCGGGTATGAGGAATTCTGATTTTTTAAAGCAGTATAATGGTTAGTACTGGGCAGGGTGAGACACCACTCATAAAATTGGAAAGATAGTTCAAGTCAGGCACCTGGCGGGGAAGAACATGGTATACATTGCTTTAAGCAAGTCAGTTAGGTAGCACTGTATGCTAAGATAGTGGATTATTTTTAATTGTTGTTTTCATTGTTTTTCGCCCACGAACTCTACCCTCGCCAAGCTCAGAGGTGGTCTGAACTTCGTTCATAAAAGAGATCGGGAGATAGTTGGGTATTAATTAGAGCGGCTGCGGCTTCACACGTAAGGAAGTTGCCTACAAACAGTGAAACCGTATGTTGATGTGTCATATTTCAGATGCGAGTGAAGTAAACCAGGGAACAGCTGGGTCGTAGGTTTGTACGCGCTTCAGGGCACACTAAAAAATTGCTGGATTTACGGAATTTGTAGTGTGTGTATGACTTGACGTTTGACCTAGCCTCTGCTATAAAAGTAATTCGGTAAATCAGGCGGTGTAAGAGTTAGATTTAGCTTTATTCTTCCGAGCCACGGTGGCCCAAGACCTACGATTACACAACGACAGCCGCGGATGAGAGGGCTGTTATGTGGGAATAACTTTTGGTGAATGAACGTTCAAGCAACCTGAAGAATCCCGCTGCTTGATGAATAATGCATCCCAGCCCAATGACACATTAAAGATAATGAGGAATGTTCGAGAGATGAGTCCCCTGTATTCCTGGGCAAAATCGTCCTAGACAACCGGTGATTTGCGTACTGAGTTTTACTGGCAAACGCGCTCAAATTACCAGGTACCTTGGATCTCTCAAACCCCTTTTCGGATGCTGGCCACCTACCGTATTTGTAGTGCATCTACATGTGACGTAACTCCATTGGTGCCTCTGCCACACACTGCGCGCACAAGTCACGTACTTGCCCCTCATATATTCATTGAAATCCTCAGCAATTGCTGGGAGGGATGGAAACCGGAGAGCCACGAATTTCTCAACGAACATTTCAAGCTATGTATTTAGCCACAGCACCACAATCTGCAACATTGGGAAAAGTGCACCTGCTGACATAGGATCAGCCTGCGCAAGGGACAGACGAAAAAATTTCCAAACAACCTCTAAGTAGCGAATATACACTCATCTGCAAACTAATTTGGTTCTTTCGAGAAACTCACCTGGAACCCAACTGAATCTCTCGTTTATGATGTTCTCAGGCAACTGAATGTGCTGCACCAAGCCGCCTCATGTTTCAGTCGCTACGATATTTGAAATATCGCGATACATGTATATATTTGTAGTGTACTACTCATAAGGTTGCCGAAAATCTGTCGACAGCTCACGGTCGGTTTCGCTCTTCTTGGGGCTCATCCGACAGGCGTGTTCTCCGAGTTTTCGTCAAACTTATGTTTTACTTGAACCCAAACTGGACTAATTCGGACAAATACACTCATTTACAAATCCAATTTTGTTTGCAAATGAGTGCATTACGCTAATTATCATGGCTCGTTTTTTAAAGGGGTTTTCCCTATTTTTATTTCATCAATGTACAGCAAAACCTGTCTGGAAGAAGTGACAGCTGCAGAAACTCTTGTACCTGGTGCTTGTCCATGAGTGTGTTATGTGGAAATAGAGGATTGACGTTTAACCTCTATTTTTAAGAGGCAATGGAGTAACCGGAAACATTGGGATACAATAAAATTAGTTGTTGCTATTGAAAAGTTTATATTCCACAGGAATGACCCAAAGCGGTTGCTTTAAGAGAATGGTCGAAGGAAATGGATGCGCTGCAAAGCTGCGTTACTCAAAATGTAGCCCCTTTTGGGATTTCAGAGCAGAGCCATAAAGCTACCATCCAACTTTTTGGTAGGTTGCACGAAGATAGAATTTTGGCCCTAAAATAGGTTGCTTACGTATCATCTGAAAACATCCGTACTAAAATAATCAACGCTTACATTATATTCACCGGAAAGATGGGCAAATGAGTCCCTCCTCGGGACGTTGTCAAAATATTCCCACCTGGCGTTTCGTCAGCCACTTCACGATGGCCAACTTCCCTCGGCCTGGAAGGAAGCGATTGTCACGTGAATCTACGAAGTTGATGGCTGACTACCACCCAGCAGCTACACGCATATTAACCTCACTAGCGCGGCCTGCAAGGCGTTGTAGCGCTTTGTGAAGTGAACAATTCTAGATCACCTAACACCGACAACTTGATAACTCTGGTTCAACATGGATTTCCCCTAAAACTTTCTTGCATGACAGACGCGCTCGTATATGTGGACAGCTAGGAATAATAGCATCATATCGGATGCCATATTTCCCCACTTATTAGAAGTATGCAATTGCGTCACACACGTCCCGCTGCTCCACAAACTCGAGTCTTATGGAATGCAAGGGAATGTTCTACACTGGATTAAGGCATTCCCATCAGACAGAACATTCGGAGTGAAGGAAGGCCCGACCCACAATTCTCAGGCGCCGGTCTCCGTTGGGATTCCCCAAGGCTCCGTCTTGTTACAACAACTGTTTCTGATATACTTCAGCGACCTTCCAGGTGTCCTTACAAGTCCGAGGCTGCGTTTTGCGGAAAACTTGAAATCCTGGATTTCTAATACCGGCTTCCTCCAAATGGATGCAGACGCTGCAAAGCGGTGGTCTTAGGACTGGCGCCTTGCTCTGAACAACCGAAAGTGCATCCATATGTCATCCGGAGGAGACTCAGCGGAAGCCTTTGTAAGATATGGTGAGAATGGACCAGGAGATATCACAAGGAGAGATGGCCAAAAAGATTTGGCACACGACTTTCTTCAAATATATCTTTCGCAATGCACCATGAGAAATCGGCTCAAAGGACAGGTCTTTCGGGTGAACGACAACCACTAAACGATAAGGACAAAACCGACCAAGGATACTCGAGTGAAAGCCTGGATCCTGTGTATCAATCCGTGGATCGTGAATGCGTTTGTGTAGTCGAGGTTCTAGATCCCGCTTATTCCTCCGGTGGGCGCCAACTGAGGACGTTCCAGATGGACTTTCGGAGGGTGATACAAGGGGCACAATATTTTGTGCAGGAGTTATGAATCTAAATATGTTTTTTTGTTACCGACCAGTCTAGCAAGCTGGGTTGTTTGTAACCAAATTGAACTGAACTGCTGGTGACTGTTTTACACTCCGCCCGATTGCGTTATTTCCGCGCTTTTTGAGTGTGCTGGTTCGCTATCTCGTTGAGACATGAAGGTCACATTTAAAACACTCAAACAGCAGACTTTCGAATTGGAATTGAAAGAGGACGACTTGGTAAGTGTCGAAGTATATTTTTCCGCATTCGCTACCAGGTGAGTGACGTTAAAAAGAAAATTGAAGCGGAGAAAGGAAATGAATTTTCTGCTAGTTCACAGACCCTGATACATTCTGGTATGTTCTCAAGTTTTATTTCGACGAAAGCTTGAAGGTAAAGTCATGGAGGATGAGAAGACACTCAAACAATATAAAGTGACCGACAAGGGTTTCATTGTGGTGATGGCAGTTTCAAAGCCATCGAAAGAACCTACAGCATCAGCTGAAAAGGCGCCAGAGGCAGCCAAGCCGGTGCAATCAGAACAGTCGATTTCCACGAACACTGTTACCTCAGCACAAGAAGCCACGGTACCCCGTTCTGAGGTTCCGGCGGCTGCAGGCCCCGAGAGCGCGACTGGCGAGAGTGCCCTTGTCACTGGCGCAGAGTACGAGCGCGCAATATCAGAAATCGTAGGAATGGGTTTTGATCGATCTATGGTATGTCAGTATTGAGTGTGTCATGTACAGTACAGGTGATACGTGCAATGCGGGCCAGTTTTAACAACCCTGACAGGGCTGTTGAGTACTTGTTGTCTGGTAACATTCCGAACGTGGTTGTTCGAGAACAACAGCCTGCCGGTGGACGAGAGCGAGTGGATCCCCCCGGAGATGAACACTCTGCTTCTGAGTCACCTAGTTCTGAGGATCCTATTTCCGCACTTGCCAGCTTACCCCAGTTCCAGCAAATGCGAGCCCTCGTTCAAGCGAACCCAGAACTTCTCCCTCAGCTGATCCAGCAGATTGGGGCGGACAACTCTGAGTTGCTTCGGGTATGTGCTTATATCTCTCGTCTCTTGTTGATGAATGTTCGATTAATCTAACGGTTCGCAGGAACACCTCTTGAACTTCCCCAGCTATACTTATCACACGACTCAATGAGTCCTGGAAATAATTGGTATTTGGAGTAGCTATTCTATCGGGTAAGGTAACCTGATGTATTTCGATGCTGGTCTGGAGCATGGTTTGCAAGTGTTCTAACCCCTGTCATACCCGTTTTGTGGCGCGATGTTCATAATCACATGATGGTGTATTTGTGGAAATTATTTGCTGTTCATTACGACAGTTAACGCTACCTTATTCAAGGTGGTCCGGTTTGACCGAAATTTTCTTTTCCCATTACTTGGGGGGCAGGGGCAGATTCTGCGTTCTTGGCATGCTGTTTTCCAAACTTGCCATCTTTTCATGGAATATGGTCGCCGTCACCAAGTACTGAGATCCGGTCGTACTCTAGTCGAGGAACCTCCGGTACCCCCTGGAAAGTCATCGCGTCTCCACTGATGGAACATCTCAGTGTAGGGACCTGAGAACACTACCAAGGAAAAAGCGTGCGAGTGCAAAGTGCGGTTAGCTGTGACTGCTTCACCAACCAACTTACGGCGACGCTACTCCACACCACATATATGCCGATTTGCAACATCTCAGGCTGTTACATGACTGTGGAGTTCAAGGGCAGCTGCTAATGTTGTTAAAGAAGTCATTTCAGGTTGAATTGTGATTTTCGGTCGATGAGAGATGGTGTTGAACTTCAGTCAGTTGTCTGTACTTTCTGTAGTGGTAGGGATCATCACTGCTTAGGGAAATCGTCCATCATCCAAAGTCCCGTACACTGGCGGCGCAGCTCATTACATAATTGGATGAATGTCAAACTTGCACAAGGCGATTGATCATCCTTATCCGCGAAGTTAACTGAGGATGCTAATACCTGTTTAAGAGCCAGCTTGTGAGAAACCCAAAAATCTTATATAACCATACAGTTGCAGCCTGAGCCTGGCCAAAACGATCCCGCTGGATAACAATTTCATTTGTGAATCACATGACTTCACTATTCTACTGTCATCACACGTGTTCTTGCTGGCCGCTTCTAGGTTCTCTCGTACGACATGGACCATCTTCGTCCTCATCGATAGCAAAAATACGCAATATGTACTGCCACCTAGGTGTCATAGGACCAAGGGAAAATAGGGCATTAGTCAACAGTGGAAAAGAAAGGGTAAGGACTTAGTGTGAAGAAGTCTTATGTCCTTAATGAAAACGACCAAGTGTAAGGTGCCTACACCTTCGAACAACATCCAGTAAACACATTTTAATGTTAAGTCGCCGTCGGAATCGACCCAGCGTCCTTTACAAACCTCACCCAAAATGAACCTAGCGCGTGGCGGACGAACCGTAACTAGGAAACGACGGTTTGCGGGTTACTGGGATCCGTTACCTGCTGTGTCCTGCAGGGTTCCCAGCCACGGAAAACGGCTCCAGCAATGAATGCACGAAAAGCTCACAGCACTTCGTTCGCGCTGCCGCAACTGAACGACTAATTTTTGCTGTGTCTTATCCCTTGCAAACTGACAGTGGGTAGACGACGGCTGGGTATACATAACACACACTACAGCCACAGCCTCATAGGCTTAGTCTGCAGTTTCAGCAGACGTTGGACCGCCTACGGTATATGTTGCTTCAAGCTTCACCGGGACTCGGGTCCGGGTGACCTTCACCTGTATTATTCGAAGATGGGATTGTGGTAGTCAGTCATCGCTTGTCTCATCTGTTTGCTTGCATTTGGGAAAGGAGTCTCTCAGACAACTGGAGGGAGTCGGTGAAAGTGTCCATTTTCAAAAAGGGGTCTCATAGTGAGTGTTATAACCACAAGAGGATCAGCTTGACGTCGGTCGTAATGAGACTGTTGGCGTCACCGGCGCTTCGTCGCTTGAGGTTGGCTCTTGAAACACGGACTTGAGAGCAGCAGGCTAGATTCTGGCCTTGTGAGGTTGCGTTGACCAAATCAAGTGTTACGACAACGCCATATGTATAGGCGATCTATAATTCTAGCGTTCCTGGATTTCCGAGTCGCATTCAACTCGGTTGTTCTCAGGTCTGTTCTTGACACATCAAGAAATCCCCCGTAAGTTTGTGAACATAATATGTTCTTCGTATTCTCCGAATTCCGTAAGTGTGGGGATATACAAAAGCTTCTCTGGACAAAGCGGTGTCTGTCAGGGGTGCCCACTCTCCATTTCTATTTATTTTCGTGATCGATGAGATAATTAGGAGAATGCTGGAACATCTTCAAAACTCCGTTCAATTAACCTCTGGCGAAAACCTCGTCGATCTGGAATATGCAGACGATATCGTTCTCGTCTTCGAAGAGGAGGAGACCAAAGTCATCCCATTCTTCGGCACACAGTTTGCACCCACAAACTGTAAGTTCATGCTCCTGGACATACAGTCACTGAACACGCCTCTTACAGTCCAGGGAGGGGCACTGGAAGTTGTGGAGAGCTTTACGTATCTTGGAGGTTGTATTAGTTCTGACTGTAGTGTGACAGATGAGGTCAATACACGAACCTGCAGTGTTCAGGTCACGTTTGCTAATTTGAGACGCCTACGACGTAAGAGCGGTATATCCCTGAATCCTGAGAGACGTGTGTATCACGCTACAGTGCGGGCTGTTCTGTTTTATGACTGTGAGACTTGGCCTGTAAGAGCAGCGGAACTGAGAAGTTTTGTGGTGTTCGACAATAGTTGTCTCAGGACCATAGCTGGTGTGGGCTGATGTCAGCGAATCCGCAACGAAGAAAGCGGGTTTTCGGTTGTGCAACGGGCACTCGCATTGTAGAATGTGTCCAGCACCGGAAGCTGTGTTGATTGGGACATGTGTTGCTTATGCCTAACCATCATTTGCCGAAGAGAGTGCTGTTTTCCATCCCCAAATCAGAATGGCGGAAGGAGAGAGGTGGCCAACCCTTGACCTGGCAGAGGGACATGAAGGAGGTTACGAGACGCTTGAGTACTGTCAGTAATACCCGCCTTCCAGGATGGGAACCGCATGATCCTTACTGCGCCTGGTTTGAGACGCTGCAAGATATGGCTGCTAACCGATGTCGGTGGCGACCTTGTTGTCAGTTTCTATCCAGATTGCCTGAATGGGTATCTGGAAGTGTATGCACCTAGAAATGATTGTAGTAAGCTAGCACTAAGTCCCTTCCCCATCCGCCTTTATTCTTTTCTTCACAGTAAGGATTTCAAATAAATCTTGGTTGTTCGGCAGCGAAGCCTCAGTGTTGAACACCGATGTTATGGTATCGATTATTATTATTATTGTTATTGTTAATACTATTCGTTATCAAGTATCTGCTGACACACCACTTCACTGCGTATTCACTGCAGTTGGAAGCTTGCTATGGCTCAGCGAAACCGACAATAGAACGCTTGGAAAGTCCTTAAATCTTCGGCTGGTTACTGTAAGGCTCATCGGCACTTAATTCACCAACGGCGTGGTACCTGCATGCACCCACATAAACTACGGTACAGATACCGGCAAGTGCGAGCCCCATCGTCGAACATCGACGGCGTGTATAAGGGACGCCTCACACATCTTGCGGATGATAATTCTCAAACCGGGCAACTGGGTGAAAGTGGGCATCACTGGGGTGGTACACCACGTGTTGGCGCTACAAAGATACGTTTGATATCACACTTTACTGCAAGTTACCGCTCAGCAGCGTCATTCTGTGTCTTCGAATGGGGACAAAAGTTTTCCAATCAGCCGTCAATTTCGGCAGCAAAAAATGTGTGCAACTCAAACAAAAACGTTTCGTCCCCTGACAACCCTCGAATGGCAAGCAACTGTTCATCCAGAGAGATAACGTAATCCTCTAAAATGCCATTCATACCATAACACCCTGAATTTCGATCATGCTTTTATACGAGTTTCGGTGGATTCTCCCCCAACAGAAGCGAAGCAGCTCACAAGGAGTAGTTTTAATGCTCAACCGCGGTCCAAATTACAAACAAAGCAAATGCTTGCGTAATCTTGGGGATTCCTTGTCCGCTGGTTTTGAGGTCTCTCTCGAAGTTCAACGGCGACAAAACTATGTTGCTGGCCGGTCGGTTGCTTATGCATCTGGAAAATACGCAGCACCGCTGACTACGGTGGCTCAGCCATGTCTCATGTCACCGTCACCGAGACGACTGCTCAAAAATGGAAATGGCCTTTGTTGTTTGAAATAATCGATAGACTCATCACGAGAAAGCTGATTGCAAACTTCCGTTCGCCGGATAACATCCGTTATCAACTCCAGAAGCCAAAGATTTTAGCAACCAGTATATATCATCCGTTTGCCTCCTGCAGCGGGTGCTAACATTGCGGGTTGGTGTGCAATAGAAGCTCAGCTACCCAGCTCCATGTAGATAAACTAAGACTTCTAAGTGTGACACTGTATCAAGATTCTTTAGTAATTATTTACAGGGACAGTGTATGTGCATGAGCCTATAGAATGTGACAAATGGTCGAAGAATAATGCCAGTTGTCCCTTGCTTCATAGAGATGCCCAAGCGAAACCGCGAAGTTCTCAGTTTTGTTACGTTCAACTAAATTTGTCACTCATCGTGCAGTGCTCCACCGGCGTCGAAAAACAGCAAGACTGTAACAGGAGCTAGACATGATTTCGTCGCATCGCCAGTATTATTGCTCTTTGACACATCTAATGTCGCCATACTGATGTGTAGTCAGGCATAGTCATCTTGTGGTAAAATCAGCATCCGACTCAGTGTACCGTGCTCCTAGAGCTCCAGAGGTCTCGGTCTTCAGAAAGGTGGCCTCTGTCGGCAGACAGGTTTGAGCGTGGGTGCCCCTGACTAATTAGTTGGGTTTTCCGAGAACATCAGATTATCAATGAGGAGACAGAGCTCTGTCCTCAATGGAGACGACCAGGTGACTGACAGTCTACGACCTGGCAACGAGGCTTACAGCTGCTGTCTCCCTGGATAGGGACCG